GTGTACAAAAAGACCGTGAAAAAACAGACTTAGGTGTAAAGGTACCTCCTGACTTTACCAATTTCGAGGGTCTTGGCCAGATTTTCCAATCGATTTGGCTAAAAATGTGTGTTTGGGCTAATTTAGTTAGATAACCATCTTACATGATATATACTTTTTAATATATACGCTAATCATTAAGGTTTTTCTCAAATTGAAACACTATAAATCGACCGGTACTTGAACATGTATTGACATTGTGCACTGGGTATCTATTTCTATTTAGTCAAGTCATTTTTTATAATAAAAATTGTGTCACTTATATGAGCCAGATCTGTGAATTATTATGCCTTAAAAATGTGCATTAAAAACTAAAACTTCGGCTAGTGTATAATATTTTTTGACCATTGACAGATTATATACACTTTAACACAGCGTTCGAAAATAAACAGTACGCAAAGATAGTGTACTGTACCGGTACAGTATCACTAAAAAATTTAACGGTTGTTGTAGCAGTGGTACATGCAAGAGTTTGCGTTCTGCTAATCTGGTTCCATCTGCAGGTTTAGAAATTCGGCTACTTGAATGGGCTGTAACCAGAGATCTTCTGAAGTTAGTTGGGTAGGTTTGGCTGTGTAATTAAAAAGGTACAGGGTATTGTATCACACGCCGGACAGGCGTCACGCACATCTTCATCAATTCGACTACACCATCCTCAACGCAATTGCTCCAAAACTACCCTGATTTGTCTAGACAGCTGGCGTTCTCCAGCTGCAATGGATGTGGGTGGACTCCGCGGACGGCATTCATTTTATAACTGCTAATAGCATCGGTGACTGCATCGGTATGAATGCCACTTAGACCTGCCTGATAAGCTTCTTGATCTAGAGGTTCTCTCTTGGAGCGTTGGACCTCCCTCTCTAGATCGTGTATGTCCTTCCTGACACGCCTGGATGGGGGAGATTTATCCACCATATGATGGTTGGGATGACTCTCACGGTAGCCCCCAAGCAGGTACTGCAACGAAAGCTTGTGATTATGCTGACGTAAGGGAAGGACTTTCGCCTCCTCATGTAGATGGTCCACTGGTGTCATGAGAATGCACCCTGTCGCAGTTCTTAGGGCAGCGTTCTGGCAGGTCTGGATGAGCTTCCACTACGTAGCACTAGTATTCGCAGACCACACTGGAGCCGCATAGCTGACCACAGACCGACATATCGCGTTATAAGAGGTCAACAAGGTAGAGATTAAACAGTTCCGGAGATATCACCACACATTGGGAACTCTCTGTTTCACTCTACGGGCTTTGGACTTCTAGCGTCCACACGTACAGTTGATTATCCAACGTTTCAAACTTGGCCGATGGGAGGTTCTCTGCACGTCCTCAAATAGTATGGCATGATTGACCGTATCAACTGCCTTTGATTGGTCAAGGGATACTAACACTGTTCTGTCACACGGCTTGTTCTGGTCCAGCCCTCTACTAATATGTGTGGAAATGGAGTGTAATGCTGTTGTGGACGCAATCCGTGCTGATGATAGGCAACTGGATAGCTTTCTCTAATTCTGGGGATGAGTAAAGCCTCAAGAGTCTTAGCTACTGTCGACAAAAGCGAAATCGGACTGTACGCTTCGCCTTTACTGGCATCCTTGCCTGGCCTCAGTAGCTGGACCACCCGGCCCATTTTTGCGGCTTCGGGCGACAAATTGGGAACTTTCGTTAGGCACTCGACTCCCGGCGTATCCAGCTGTTTCAGCATTACCATTGAGATTCCGTCCGGCCCAACGCTTTGGATGACTTAGCGTTCCGGATGACATTTGCAACATCAGTCATCGTAAACTGTGGTGGTTCCCCCTCGGCGGGAAGACATCTGATACAATTTAGTACTCTTCGCTTCGGTTAAAATACACCGCGCATCCTTTTTCCTGGGTCCAGCCACTTTTTTCTCTTATGATCCTGTACCAACCGGTTGACTCCCACTGTCAAATTACTGATTCTAGGATCAGTATGGTTGGTACGACGGAGATCATCACGCTCACGATGGAGATCACGATGGAGACGATTATCGGGAGATGGTCTGAGCCAAGAGAAATGACTGGTTGCCAAGTCACGTCATTTATCAGACCGGGTGACACTATGGTTAAGTCTGGCGAACTGTGGCACTCTCCTATTATTCGGGTGGGGGCATCCTCGTCAACCGTGCCGAATGTGGAGCAGTCAATCTGCTCTGCCAGCGCTGATCACCTCTAGTCATTACCTAGGACGGAATGGCACAACTAATGGTGGGCATTAAAATCCCCTAGTACCAGGCGGTTATTGCCTACAAACAATAGGCTAATATCTTGCAAATAACGCGGTTCACAGCTATTAATCGGCGGGATATATATATTAAGCACCTCTACCTCGACAGTTCCACACTTGACTGCTACCCCCATACATTCCATGTATGGGTCACAAGAGACTAGCTCAAGCGAGACTATACTGAACAGAATGGTGTAACAGGAACGCTAATCCCCACCTCCACTTCTGATACGTTGTAACCATAGCAATGTTGCAGGATGCAATTTTCATTCAGCTTGGTTTCCTGCGCCGCTGCGATCTTAATATTCCTTCGGTTCATAAATTCCACTATCTGATCAATTTTGCCTCGGAGTTCGTTGCAATTGAATTGCAAGAATGATGGCGTTAGATGATGCGGTGTTGGTCGCTGTTCTGAAGACTGCGACGTCTCTGATGAGGATGACGAAGAAGTGGACTCGCTGGGGACTACGTTACTGCAGCATGTCGCAACATTATCCCTTTCGCTGTAGTCTCTCAAACCATTCTCTACATCCATTACTAGCACCGAAACAGATCTGTGGTGGATGACGTTCTGACAAACCGAGCAGAACCAAGGTCCGGGGTTTTCCTCAATGCCGGCACGGACCAATAAAATCCGGGAGATGCTGCTCCCAATGCAGAAAAATAAACAAACACAAACATGTACATACTGGGTTGGCAGCCGCTGGCCGAAACTGGAATCTTGTTGTTTCGGGTCGATCCAGTATCGTAGAACCCGCTGCCGTAGGATTGATTTTAACGGTAGTGTACCGATACGCTACCACTAAAAAATATTTTAGTGATACTGTACCGGAACACAACGATGATTGTATTGTACCGCAGTCGGAGCGCTAAAAAATCGGAACACTAAAAAAACGTAGTGTTCCGCAATCGGAGCATAAAAAAATGTAGAGTACCACATGCACCACATCAAAAAAAAATTTTTGGGTTTAATGTGCATGTTATGATTTGGAAAAATATTAGGTGTTTGATTTTTGGTATAAAAGCATTGATAATGAATAAAGTGATTAAATGAGAGAAAAAAGGATGGTAAATTTAATCTTTACATGCATTATTAAGTGATACAACAGTATCTAATTGAACATCTTATCCGACTTCGCGAAATTATACAAAATTCGATATGAGAATCACTTTTTGAATAAGTGGGAATTAAGGGACATACTTAATACTCATTTATTTAAAAGTATTTAATTTTTAAGAAGTAAGAACTTTAATCTGATCCCAACTGGTAATTAAAAATTTCATTAGCTTTTACACAATTTTGTATTTTCATTGCGTGTTTTGTTTCGATATAGTTTGCATATTGCTCAGGATGTAATCTCTTTAAATGTCTTCCTATATTTCCGGAATGTACAATTAAAATCTTGTTATTACAAATTTGCAAATTACACACAACTTCGTAACGTTTGATACATTTGTATTCATCGCGGCATTTTTGTAACTATTCACTGAACGTTTGATAAGATTTGAAAGACAGGACAACCAAAAAATACCATTTTTTGAGGAAAATTAAAATTTTCAATGGTTAAATGCAAATTATTATCACTTCAGATTTGGTCCTTTTTATACCCTTCACCATACTATGGAGGGTATATTAACTTTGTCATTCCGTTTGTAACTCCTCGAAATACTCATGTCAGACCCAACAAACTATATATATTCTTGATCAAGGGTGTGTCTGTCTGTTGTAGGCAGGTTAAGTTCGTAAATGGCCCATGTCCACGTTCCCTATATTCGGTATTCCAAATGGTGGAGGGTATTAAAATTTCGGCCCGGCCGAACTTACAGCTTTTTACTTGTTTTAAATATAACTGTAAATATTAATTAAAATTAAATTTGGAGTGGTTTGATATAGTTGATTGTTGGAGTCTGACACGATCGGATTGGTAAGAATGTGAAGTTAAAAGTGTTGAACTTTAAGTGTTAAATTTTGGTTTCAAGTGATAAATATAAACAAAGTTATTAAAATTATAAATCAAAGAACAGTTGAAATAATGCAATGATATTAATGTTGATAGGGCAGTGAACGAGACTTTATTGTACTAGTTGCTTGGGAGCTGCATGTAATTGAAAGAAAAAATCGTCGCAACAACAACCAAATCTAAACATATGTTTACTTGCAGTACCCAAACATATGTTATGTTTGGGACTGTTGCAAACATGTAGTAGTACATTGGTTTGCATTTAGTTTGGACATTATTTGCACACATTACAATTTTACAAGAGACGATTCCTTTCACTAAACTTGCTTGAGTTCGTATGAAATAGTAGACATTCGGTTGTTTAGCCTCTCAAAAATTAGTTACAGGCCTACTTAATACCCGACGTACCGTACAAAAATACTCACCTTCCCCAATATAGTAAAATGTTATGTTGTTGCAAAATGGTCAGGCTAAATCCCTTTATTGTTGTTTTTATAAAAACAACGTTTGTTAAAATGTTATGTTTGACCGTATAGCCAGGTACCCAAGATCCATATTTTCAACAAGCAAAAAACAAAAAAGTTCTGTGTTAAAATCGTTCACCATAGAAAATTTGTACGTCCGACGTATCTCGGTAACATTCATGTATTCAATTTATGTGGAAATGCCGAGGGTATACGACGGGTATTGAGTGGGGCTGTTACTTAGTAAATATTTCAGGAAAATTAAACAAAGTACAAAGAAATGTTTCTGCTTACCTCTAAACCTTTTTCATTAAACCTTCCCTTTATTGTCAATTGACCATATTTGGACTTAATGCATTCCTTTTGATGCCCAAGTCTTTCCAAATAATACTGATGAATTAAATCTGCTGTCTCGAACCCATGTAGCTCCAAAACCCTTTCAATTTCGGCTAATTCCTCATTGTTGGATAAAACAATATTTCCACTTTTGAAACATGAAAGCATTACTCCCAATGTGTTGCGTAAATTGTGAAAGAACGCTGGTGGGCGACGTTTCTGAAACAAATACTTAATATTTAGTCTGATGCTTCTTATTATTATAAATTACTCACGTCTAGATTCGATTTGATTAAATCGTGCATAATAAATGATAACTGGGACCAAATAGCATCTAAAGTGCGAGCAAAATTAACTTCATTTAATGTTTCATATAGAGTGCTCAAGGAGCCTTCTAAATACAACATAAGACGTTCCATTGAATTCGAATCCTCGTGCAAGACTTCAGCTCCTTCTGCAAGAAATCTACGAATTGGGGGAGCCATTTTGAGAGCTAATACCTCTATCAACTCCAAAATCTGATTCCGTTCTGTATCCAACGCATTATCAATAACGTTGTTAAGAGTAACTTCACAACGCTCTGCTTCAAGGTTAGTACGATACTCAGCCAAACGTTTGATTACATCATCCGTACCTAGTTCCTGTAAAAGCATGTATTGGTATTTATAAGAACATTGGCACTGTTAGTAAGATTTATTTATTTATTTATATATTTGGGAAAAGTGTAGAATCTCGTCCGTACATAGAATATTTCAACTAATTATTAAAAATAGTGAAATGAATAAAGTGGAATATTCGGTGTTTTAAAGGTTTTTTTTGTGCACAGAATTGTTGCGAATTTGGTATAAGGAGTTTTTTAATGGGTTCTACTTCTGGTGGCAGAACGATATAGTCTGTAAAGATCCGCGTTTTACTATAGCACCCATATGACGGTACCTTCGGATATTCGGTAATTTTAGCCACACTTTTTAACGAGATTGTCTAAAATTTTGTGTTTGTAGTTCTTAATGGGTTCTAGCTCTGGTGGAACAAATAGGTCCACATTTTCCAATAACTCCCATATAACGATACCTGCAGATATTTGGCATTTTTACGATTTAGGCCACAATTTCTATCGGATTTGTTTCAAATGCAGCATTTGCAGTTCATAATGGGTTATACAACCGGTGTTAAAATATTGTCCATATTGATATTTTATAACGTTATCTACGTTATTCAACTGATCTCAATGGTATTTGCAGATTAAAGTGGAATTCGTTTGAATCCATATACATTTATTTAAAAATGTTTATTTACCTAATATGTTTATTTACTAACAGTATTGAAGTTGAATTTTCTTTAATTTTAGCTTAACTGAATAGAAAATGAATAGAATACAAGTTCCCATATCTGAATGCAATGGATTTATGAATATATATTTTAACAATGAGATGTTGTCAAAGATGTAACCATTGTAAAATTAAGAAGGCAAGTTCATTTCAAATAAACATATTCATCTCTGCAAGAAAACAGGTGCCCATCTCTGAAGTGTGTGTATACAATGGATTTGAAAATATATATTTTGACAATGAGATGTTATCAAATGAATAATTTTGAAAAAAATGTGAACATATGCATGACTTCAAAACATTAAGTTCGACCGAGCCGAACTTTTAATACCCTCCACCATTGGATAAAGAAACATTTGTATATAAAAGTATGTGAATTCAAACGTGTTCCACTATAAACTACAAATATCATTAAATTAAATTAAAAAAAAAAAAACATAAAGTGGGTGAGCTCGTTTTATGGGGACCAAAACGGGATTCTCTATAAAAAGTTTTATACTTTAAGTATTGCCATAAATCTCAAATCTTCTTAAATACCAAATTGGAAACAGTCTCGTTTGTAAATGTGACTCGGATTATCAAAATACCGAGTATCGGGAGGTTTCGTTATATTTGCGCCATAGAAAACGTGGACCTAAATATTTAATGTTCTGCCACCGGAGCTAGAAAAATGTGGCAAAAATCATCCAAATATCGGGCTATACAAATAATTTTTCGCCACCGAAGCTAGAACCCATTATTACCCACAAATACCATTTCTTAGGCAAAACCGTGAAAAATAGTGGCAAAAATCATCAAAATACCGAATATCGGGAGGTACCATTATATGGGGGCTATACAAAAACGTTCACCTATACATACAATGTTTCGCCACGGAGCTAGAACCCATTATGAACTACAAATACGTGGAAAAATGTGGCAAAAATCATCAAAATATAGAATATTGAATGTCCGGAGGTACCGTTATATGGGGGCTATACAAAAACGTAGATCTATACATACAAAGTTTCGCCACCGGAACTAGAACCCATTATGACTTACAAATACCAATTTTTACACAAATCACTGCAAAACTATGGAAAAATCATAAAACTACCGAATATTGGTAGGTTCCTTTATATAGGAGCTATACAAAATTGTGGACCTATACATACAATGCTTCGCCACCGAAGCTAGAACCCATTATTTCAATTTTGTCAATTTTAAGACAAATCCGTGAAAAAAAAATCATCATCGTCGAAAATCATCAAAATACCGAATACCGGTAGGTACCGTTATATGGCGGCTATATCAAAACGTGGACCGATGTGTTTCATTTTCAATACCAACCAACCAAACTTTGAAGCATGGTAAAATTAAGAAGGTAAAGTCATGCAATCGTATGACAACTATTTTCAAAATTATTCATTTGACAACATCTCATTGTCAAAATTTATTTTCTATGCAGTAAAATTTGACCAGGTAACTTGGCACAGTTATATGGGGGCTGTACAAAGACGGGGCGGGCATACGAAATTTTTCTAATTTTTGCGAACTTTAAATACACGTGTGTGAAAAACCTAGCCTTCTATCTCAATTCGTCTGCTTGCAAACCCATAGAGCGCATTTTTCTCACCCAACCTTAAAATCTAGTCGTACGCCTCTAATGGTTTGAACATTCTAGGTCTATTTCCCTTAAACTTTTTGAATTTAACACATCAAAAAGAGCAATATTTTTAGATCCCGGCATTTTTAATTATTCAGTGAACGGTTGATAACATTTAAAGGACAGTCATTGACATAAATCTGGTAGACTATATTAAAAATATCAGTACATTTATCGGTGTGTCATGTCGGATGTCCAACACGTCTATATAAAGTCATGTCTGACTGATGTATACCCGAACTCTGTCAATTTATCTGTGGGATTTTTTTCTCTTGTTTTAGAGTCGTTTTCTCTTCTGTTTGCTTGGTAATATTTGTTTAAAACAAACAAAAAGGAAAATAAATGGGATGCGTTTCTCTTTCTCTCTCTCTCTCTTTAAAGGTTTGTTGTGTTTATACATTACCGAAAAAATTAATGCGTGATTATTGTCGTGCCCTGGGAAAAAATGTATTCGTTATTGGTACCAGACTCTAATACATTTCCTAAAAATGTTTGTATTGTACAAATATTTGCTCAGTTCCAGAACCTGCAAGAATGTATAAATGATACTACGATAACTTGTGATATTTGTACGTGAGATATATATTTCCCTCTATACAAGTTACCGAAAATTTTTAAATGGAAAGTTTTCGTAACACACCTGACATAAAAAACACGAGTAATACTTTTTTCCCATACTTAGAATGTTCTTTTCCACGAACAAGGTAAAAATTAATTTTCATTTAACTGAAATTGTAAAGAAAACATTTTTTTTTAAGTTTTATACCATGAGCTGTTCCAAAACTAATTGTAAACTCCCAACATACCAAAAATACAATACAGCTTGAGAATAATATTATAAAAATAGGTTGTCATAACAATTTTTCAATAATGCTTGAAAAACACTTATGTTGCACAAACTTTTCTCAGTTTTTGTTTTCAGTTTTTGTGAAAATTGTCAGCTAAAATTAGGTTTCTTTTGTAAAAAGCAAAAGCATGCGAATTTGGGACTCATTTCCGGACCGCAGAGGTGCAAAAATTTGTGGAGGATATGCAGAAGCTAAAATAAGATAAAAGAAAGCATCTATATATCAAGACTACAGGAGGAAGTGACAGTTGGGATGACCATCAGTGTATCAAATGTGTAAAATTATTACAAAATAAATATTGTGTACCAAATAAGCTTAATATAATACAATTACAACTATAAGCTTTTAAATAAGGGTTCAATTTCGATTATTCTATGTTCTCAAGCTTGAGGCTTATGTTCTTAAGCTCATTGTAATGTTTATGTAATGTGTAATAGTTTAAGATATACGTTTATTCAATGGTACTTATTGGTATGAAAACAAGATCAAGACTGAAGTTACAGTTTATTCAAAATTGACAGATGAGTATTTAATATAGAGTTGTCATATATTCGATAAGTCAACATTAAAGGGCAAGTTCATAAATAACAGTATTATTATTCACAAGTTATTTAGGTATGTTGGGCTGTACTCAAGTAATTATAGCAGACAGACAAAAATATTTGTTATGCAAATGGGAATGAGAATCTATATATATAAATGTAAGTTGTGTTAGTTACTACGCTTATAACTCAAGAACCGCTGATCTGATTTTAACGATTCATACAAATTCTGAATTGTCTCTTTTCCGAAAAGGATAATATTCAAAAAAATCGCGTAAAAATGTGATATATTAACATTTTCATTTTGACTTCTGAAATGTACAATCGTAATGTTTTATTTTGTATGTTTTTTTTTCCATTTTGACTTACTTTTTTCGAATGTACATTTGTAATGTTTTTTATAATATTTTTTTTTTCTTTTTGATTCGAATATTAATACCAATTTATTTGACTCGATTTCTTGAGAACTGAAATAGAAGCCGGGTTACATTGAAGTGTAGTACCAAATTATGTGGTGGCGAAACGAAATAGATGTTATCGAAATAATTTAACGCGGTCACACCAAATTTAAGTCAAAATTTCTAAAAATCTTGAAAAAAGAGATCTCATTGCAAAAATTCTCAAATCGGGGAAAAATTACATAAGGTATAACTAAAGAACGGCTTGACAATTCATACAATTTTGGAATGGTATCCAATAAAAATATTAATATATTAATTTCTTTTTGGTGTGATTTTTTTCAATTTGACATACTATATTGAAGTGAACATTTTTTATTGCCTTGAAATCTGAATGAATAATATTTAAAATAAAATGAGTGACCTACGTGGACCTACATCTTTCATATGGCAATAATCCGCCCAATGAGAACTCAAAATGCAATTCATTGGAACTGCAGTCAGTGAAATACCGAATATAAAGGGTGCAAAATGGTAGAGCGAATTGGACATTTAGGAAAAAAGAAAGAAATTCTTCCTAAACTTTCAAGATGTCTTAAATCGCTTTTGCAGGTCATGATATATGACCCCCGGATAAGGGTACAACCCTATTTCAAGTATTGTTTACATTTTAACCACATTTTACTTACACTCATTTTAATTTGATAAGAAACCATCCTCGCAAAATATGATCATGATTTGGTATAACCATCATATAATTTAAGCCATGTTCGGGGTCTTCGAAATTTTTTCATCTTTAGGCCTTTATTTGGCATCTTTGTTTCTAAGGGTGTAAAAACCTCTTCTCATAATATTTTCAATTTTCGGAGTAGAGTCCATCTTGGTCTTGACCACATTCATCAATTGATTTGGCTAAAAAATTGTATTTAGGCAACTCTGGGGTAGAGAATCGTCCCTCAGATAATTGTCCACATAGGCATTTATTCGAATATAGTTCTCACATTAGTGTACCCACAAATCCGCTTTCCTAACCAATGTTTGGTCAGAAAAGAAAATTTGATATACTATTGAATTTGAAACTCCAAAGAGAATATTGGTTGGGAACGTAGATGTGGGATTAACATCTACATGCCATAAACTCCGAAATATCAAATTGTGGCAGAAACATTAAAAAATCACGAATATTAATTTTTTTGTTCGTTATTGAATTATACTATGATGAAAAATATGGACTTTATGGGTTCTCCAACTCACAATTTAAATGACAAAAATAAATTAATTAATATTTCACGGTAATGGGTGTAAAAAAGCAATTATCTTTGACTATTTTGAAATCATTCCGCCCTCAATTATGAGGTGGACAAAACTAAATACCACGCAGCACGGTATTCTTAACATTGGAAATTCAATACCAAAAATTTAGCTGAGTTTTCACATGGGGCTATTATAGAAGTTCTATATCATACAGGTTTTTAACACTCAATTATAGCCTTAGGCTGAAAAATAAGATCAGGCTATTCAAAATATCTAAAACCGACGGTAGATTATTATCTATTATAATTTTTCCCATGAATGTTTATTTCTATTTAGAAATTACTATGGAGTTATTTTACTTATAATAAAAATTGTGCCGCTTTCATAATTCTATAATGCTTAAAAAAATATGCATTATAGACTAAAAGTAGGGGCCGGCAACGCGGACCGGGCCAGCTAGTAATATTATAAAAATAGTTTGTCTTCAATTTTTATTGTTCAACAATGCTGGAGAAAGAATTATGTTTCACAAACTTTTCTCAAATATGTCATTTGTTGACAAACTAGTTTTGATTTTTTGTAAAAATTGTGACAAAATTGTCTTTGGTTAAAAGCAAAATCAGGTGAATTTAGGACCCATTTCCGGACCCAATTCTTAAGGTAATGATGAATAATTAATCTGGGAATCTATGGTATATATTATTTCAATCTAATTTCAGACAGTTGCAGGAATTCAATAGAAGTGAATTTTAAGTGAAGGAGGTGCAGAAGCTCAAATAAAGGGAGAAATCGTCATCGTATCAAAGCCATCAAAGAAAAAGGTTTGAAATGATTAAAAATAAAAGCAATAAATATTTTATGCTATTACAAAAATAAGCTTAATATAATATAACTTTCGTAAGCATATTATACAATTACAAGTATAAGCTTATAAGTAAGGGTTTCGACTGTTCTATACTTGTTACACAAACATTTTTCAATGTTTTCTCAAGCTTAAGGCTTATGTTCATAAGCTTATTGTAATATTATTCTCATATTTGGTATGTTGGGTAGACGTAGTAAGGTTGTCTACACATTTTCAAATACGGGGCAAATTGTATAAATAAACCTTCTAAAGCAATACTTCAAATTTGTTTTCTATCAAAAGAAAAGCAATGTGTACAAATAATATTATTTACCTTTATAAATGATGGCAAGCTTTGTCTGATATAATCTATGTTGTTAATAGCTAAACACCATTCGGTGGATACTCGAAAGAGTTCCTCATTAACAGAGGACAAGGCATCAACACGACGAGACATCCTTTGGGCGTAGAAGACACAGCAACGACAAATGTCCTATTATAAAAGAAGAAGAACATAATATATATTGACTTTAAGAGGAATAGTAGAGATACTAACATCCACTATTTTTGCGACAAACGTATAGGATCCTTCAGCATCTGGCCAATCCAATTGTTGCCAGAAAATTTTGATTTGATAAAAGATTGCTAGGGTGTCAACGGCCGAGGAGCTATATTTCACAGTTTCATCCACAGCCTTCAATTCATCCAACTCAATTGCTTTTTCGATTCGATTAAGGGCTTTGATTATAGATATTGCCAGCCAATGGGTAACACCAGGCATAAACCACATATGGAACTTCTCTATTGCCAGTTCGTCATTGGGACACAAACCTTTACCTTAAATAAAAAAATTAATCATATTTTTAAATATTGATGTCAAGATAATTATCATTATATGAATGTATTCTTCTCTATTTCTAACATAAAGTGATATTAGTTATTATTTCATTACTCAAGGCGAAAACTTGGAATTGTTGATGGCAGAAAATAATAAAACCTAAAAAAATAATAATTCCCGATACGATACGATTTTCGAATACCTAACGTACGAACGTACAAATTTTAAAAATTAACAATTTTAACATTGAGAGAACATGTTGAAATTAAAAACGAATAATTGAGAAAATTTTAATTGTTATATGTGGAAAAAGCTGTTAATTTTTAAAATGTTTCCGTTATTTGGATATCTTGAACATATGAGTAATACAGTCATCTGAAAACTTTTACCATAGTGGTGAGGAATTTGAGAATTTTTGTACGGTACGTCGGATATTAGGTAGGTAATATTAAAATTTTATTGAGGTACAAGTGACAATACTATGACCCATAGTACAATGAAGACAAGGTAGGCTTACATTGAAAAAGTTGCAAGTATAGAGGTCTACATGTTCGTCCTTAAAAAATTCTGTTAAAATTTTAAAAATACCGAATATAGCCGTTATATTGTGGTCTATACGACATGGACCTACATAGGCCTTGTTTGTCATAAGCCATTACCATATTGAAATTCGAAAGTTGAAATAAACGGTGAATAATGTAGCTAAAATCATCAAAATATCATATATAGGGAGGTACCGTTATATCGGAGCTGTGCGAAGACCTGGACCAGCATAGACAATTTTCTGTCACAGGCAAATACGACATCTCAAAAATTTCGGTGGGTATTGTACCTACCGAATATAGGGAGGTACTGATATATGGGGCCTATACGAAGACCTGTACCTGCATAGACGTAATTTGAAACAATTCCGTTAAATAATGACGCTAAAATCATCAAAATACCGAATTTTGGGAAGTACCGTTATATGAGGGCTATACGATGACGTGGTCCTGCACAGACAATTTTCTGTATTAGGCTGTAGTATTCATTTCGAACTTCAAATTTGAAACAATTCCGATGAATAATGTCGCTAAAATCTTCAAAATAACGAATATCGGGAGTTACCGTTGTATGGGGGCTATAAGAAGACGTGGACATGCACACATAATTTTCTGTCATAGGTTGTATTATCCATTTCGAACTTCAAATACCAAAGTTGAAACAATTCCGGTGAATAATGTCGCTAAAATCATCAAAATACCGAATATCGGGAGGTACTTATATATGGGGGCTATATGAAAACGTGGACCTACGTGGCCCATTTACGAACTTAACCTGCCTACTGGAATAAACACGTGTGCAAAATTTTAGCCTTCTATCTAAATTAGTTCGAAAGATAGCGTGATTACAACAGACAGACAGACAGACGGGCATGGCTAAATCGATTTAGAATTTTGCGCTGATCAAGAATATATATACTTTGTTGGGTCTGACATGAGTATTTCGAGGAGTTACAAACGGAATGACAAAGTTAATATACCCTCCATAGTATGGTGGAGGGTATAAAAACAAACAACTTGTTACATTGATTTTGAATAAATAATTGAAAACAGCGAAAACTGATGGAAAGGTCAAACTTTCTTTTCAAAATCAAATCATCATCTATACATCTCTAAAGGTTCCTTTCGCTACAATAAGCATTTCGAAAACGCCCGAATTTGAATATTTTCTTATTTTTTATTATTGAAAATAATACACACACATAAACATATAAAGTTCATATATTAAGCCAAGAAAATAAAAAAATTAAAATATGGTAGTTCTGCCCTACCTTGATTTTATTGTACCATGCTATGACCTGTCTTTTTGACCGTATTAAGAAAATGGGTAGGACTTAGCCATTACTTTATTTTGGTCGCTAACTAAAAATTTAGTTAATGACTGAAATTGTTATGGGCGAGGAGAAGTTTGTGGCTATATACGAAAAGGGAACTGCACTATAAAAATGGTTAAAGATTGCCAAAGAAATTAACAACATCAAAGGGACGGTAAAAACTTCCGAACAATTCCAAACAATAATGTTAAATACTTGTTTCGTTTGTTCCGAAATGACAATACCCCCTTCAAATGTTTCGTTCGTATGTTGTATTGGGAAAGTTGACCCACAGGCGGGGAAAACATGAATTTTACTGTCGCTGACCCTCCGACGTAATAAACGAACAAAAATTGATATATTTTGTATGTTCCGAAAAAAATTGTTATCTATCAACATTTGTCGTTAAATTCATATATAGAAAGTTACAAATTCACACTACAGAAATAATTCTACAAAGACATCAACATAAAAATTTCAGAGCAATATTTTTGTGAAACATTTTAATGGTATTCCAGTTCAAAAATGAATTTCAAAAAGAAAATAGGAACTATGAACTTAGAAACCTTAAATATTCTATCGATGAAATTAATGAAATATTCTAAAATGAAAATTATTCATTCGATCTGACTGCAGAAATCTGATCGAAAACATAAGCTACACAAGCTGCAAACCGATATATAAGCCGATTTCCTTATCAACTCATAACTCGGAAGTTCGATCTACTGCGAATCTGATGTACTCATCATGACCTTTAATACCCAAAAGGATTTCCACCTCAGACCTTTATTTGTCTGAATTTAATAGCGTCCGAATAAAAATTGTATGGTTGTATGACCAAAATTAACAAACAAAATACTAGCAAATTTTCCATAAAGGAAACATTATATTTTGCAGTCAAATGAGCGACTCGTATGGAATTATTAACATCTGGTACCAGAATTTTACTATACTTTGCAACAATTGCTTACCTGGCTAAATTGCAAATGCCGAATTCTTCGAAATAATCTGAGTCACTCAGATATCTTTATAACCGGCTTTTACTTCAGACACCTTTCTTGTGCCATTTTGAAAGTAGGCAGAAAACATACACAAAACGTAACGAAATATTAAACTATAATATGAATTCAATACTTTGCGTGCATTTTGTATATCGTCGTTATAAATTTAGACACCAGCAACTATTGTTTAGCCAACAAATAAGTTAAGAAGTACAAAAGCAGTAAGTTCGGCCGGGCCGAACTTTGAATACCATCCACCATTTGGAACGAATTAAGCAATTTTCAAAAAAATAGAATCCATTAAAAATTCTGTTAATATCTTAAAAATACCGAATATCGGAAGGTGCCGATATATGGGAGATTCTACGATATTGTGGACCTATATAGACAAATCTATGTCTGGTGGTAAAGTACTCACAAAGAACTCCTGTGTAGAATCTCAGACAATTCCGTTGAAAAATGTGGCTAAAATCATCAAAATACCTAATATCGGGGAGTACCGTTACATGGGGGCTATACGATATCGTGGACCCATATACCCCATCTTCGAACTTGACCTGCCTGCAGACAAAAGACAGATCTGTGCAAAATTTTAGATTCCTATCTTAATTCGTTTTGACTGTAGCGTGATTACAACAGACGGATGAATCATCTTAGAATTTTACGCTGGTCTAAAATTATTATTTCGAGTTACAGACGGAAGGACGAACTTAATATATCCTCCATACTATGTATGGTGGAGGGTATAAAAACGGTCATTTTATTTTTAGAACATTAGAGTTGATTTTATGTCGAATTTCACCACACTTGATTTTTATACTCTACTCCGTGGTATAAGATATCCGTCCGTGTTTCCATGTATTTTTGCAGGCAAAGTACAAGTCTGATTTACTTTTATTGTGCACCAAATATGGAACATTAGGAACAAAGGGATAGATTTTGGTATGATATTATTTTATGTATGGATATTTAATTATATTAGTGTCCGGTTTAAACTTTAGTGTGCACGAAATGTGAATATCATCTGAAATAGAATTCGATAGAATTTAACTCGGAAGCAAGTATGTAAAATTTGGTGAAAATAGGTTCAGATAAAGTTAAACCTCCATAAATAAGTATATATATTTTTTTAAAATATATATATTTTTCGCGCTACATCAACGATTTTTGCTATCAAGTTTGAAAAAGAAAATTGTCCCCCTAATCCATTTGTTTTATTAGATTGAGTTGTCGCGACCAAAATTTATGGTGGTTTCATTTCAGCTTTTAAGAAAAAAAATATTTAGGAAACAAGAATTATAAACAGGAATTATAAAATTGTAAAAAATATTGTATTACAAATAACACCGAAAAATATTATTATAATATTTTGTATATGGATGCAGAACGCGAAATAAACTTTGTTATTGGGCATCCGATATTCTTTTGATTTGCACAAATGTTGTGAAATTTCTTTTAACGGCTATGATGTGGGATCATCGGCGTTATAGAGGGAAAAAATTGTAAAACGCTGATAATTTGTACAAAGTTCATCTACACAATATTTTTGGGATGAAAGTAACTGTTCTTTCTTATCGGTAAAGTTGCAAATATTTTCACAAAAACATGTAGGGTGAAAGAGATTATTTAATACACTGAAAGTGACCAACAGTAATCGCAATATTTGTAACAGTTTTTTTCATATATTTTCCTATATCAAGGTACTAACTTCCGCGATTCTAGATGGAGGATTTCAGGTTTTGTTTAATTCGAATTTCATTGAAACGGGGCGTACACAGCGTGTTTAATGTATCAAATATATCAAATCGGCCGAAAATATACATGGGAGCTATATCCAAATCTAAACCGATTTCCGTTGTGCATTCCTTAATCGATCAATAGATAATATGTAAAATCTAAATTTTTGGGAGGTGCCTCGGATTCTGATACCATATCTCCTGTTCAAGGTGGAATTTCATAAATTTATATAGCCTATGTTAGTTTCTGGCGATGTTGTGGTATACTTGGAAATTTTCAGGAAAATCTCTTCAGCGGTTTTCGAGTCCATAAATTACAAACAAACAAACCCTGAAACATTTTCCTCTTTTGTAGATATAGATGTAAATATGTATGTATTTGAAAACAATACGGTATACATTTTGAT